TAAGATTCCGCTCCGTGCCGGTAAAAAAACAAAACTGAATAAAAGTAGGTAACAAAAATTGAGGCAGATTTCTTTAGCTGATAGGGAATAATTTTTTAGGACCCGTTTGATTTTTGCCGGTCTTATTGCCCCGGGTCGATAAGTGCCATGCCAAATTGTGGTTGTAAATTGTGAAGTGTCAAAAAAATATTATAAAAAAATAGACGTCGAGTATAAAACACAAATTGGAAAGCACTTGAGTCGGTCGGATCCAGTGATCGAGTTTTGATCAGGCGGATGATTATGACGCAGGTACTAAAACCAAAATAACTTGAGTATTTATATTTGATTTCTTGAAACCGTCATCGATGTCTAGTGAATTTAAAAGTAAATACTAGACTGTGTTACTAGGAATATTCTTGCTTCTTGGAATTTGTAATACCACTTCTTGTCAGTTTCACTTTCTCTGAAATTATATCGGAGTTGCTAATTAACTTCAATTCAAGCTAGCCACTTTTGGGCACGTGTTAGCTTAAATTAAACATTTTTCTGGACTGCTTCTCTGGATAGTTTTTTCTATCCCTGGATGTCTACATTTTCCCCTTGTTTCTGGGTATTCATTTAATATTTTTTTGGCATTTGTTGATCTTAATCATAGAGGGCCGAACATTTTTGTTTTCCGCCACTCGGTTGGCTCTTTGGTATGCGACTTCTCATTAATTGTTTGTTGCTTTGGTTATTGCCGGTCGTTCGCGTCAAAAACACTTAACTTCATTAACACTTACATGCCAGATACGAGATATCTACTACTTTTTTTTGCTTTTCGGCCCACTCGACTGCCTTTTCCTTGGTTTTCTGCTTGGCCACACAGACGCAATTATGAAGTTTTATCTTTGGCTTATATCTTTCCCTCAACGAATACTTTTTGACTGGCCATGTTGGCCCATCATCCGTCTAATAAATACTGTTGCCAAGTGGCTCTTTGAGATGGACTTGCAGTTTATGTTGGGCTTTTCACAAAGAAAAGTTTACAAAAATCTTAGAGATACCTCGAAATTATCAGGTTAATATTGAGATACTTCTGAAATAATCTTAACCTATCTAGTTTCTTTTATTCTAAACTCAAATGAGGTTTCTTCGATTATCTCGGTTGGAATATCTTGGAGATTGTTTGTTTTCGTTACTTGGCTTGTACACCTTTTCTAATTAAAGGTCGGCCGCTTGATGTGCCTGGGATCTCTGACTTTCCGATTTTCTGTTCTGTTCTCGGCCGCTTTGTTTTGCGTTTAATTATCGCCTTTGTGTTGCTTTCAGTTTTTTCAGCGTCTTTTTGTATCTTTTTATACTTTTTTTTTGAGCAAATACCGCGGCCTTTGCCGACGATCGTGGCGCCAAGATAAACCAAAAGAACATGTTTTGCTCTCAAGTGGCCGACACAATGGGAATCAACTTGTTGTTGTTGTTGAGTCATCAAGAAAGCATTTTGGCGTCTGATATGAAACATGCCGCCTTGCAAATTAACTTTGGCCTAAGCCACTCCGAACAGATACTCGTATAGGCGCAAATTGAAAGCCGAATGCCAAATGCCAAATGCCCGATGGCCGGGGGCCAAAAGAGCTTACGTGACTGGCTGATGACCTACAAAGGGAATTCATAGTGTCATTGTATCTTGAGAATTATTTATTAGAAGTATTCATAAATGTTGCAAGGCAATCATCAAATGTTAGAGGTGGAAAAAGGCATTATTAAGTAGCAGGATTTTTAATGGTGCTAACAAAAAGTTTTTAAGACTTTAAAATGCATTCTCAAACAAAATTGAAAAGTAAAAATGTTGAGCCATAAAAATGTTGAAAAGTACAAATGTTGCACAGTAACATTTTTAACTGCAGATTAAATCTGAAAGGTAAACACGCCTCACTTTTCCATTGTAAGCCAGTGAAAGCTCTGGCCGTCAACTTCAGATGACTTTGAGATGCTTGGGCCACGCCCTGAAAACCTGGGCAGCCCAAGAAACCTCACCTCGAGGCTCCAAAGTTGGCCCTAAGCCTGCGGGCCTAATGAATTGAATTTGTGCATTTGCGTAATGTGTGTGTGTGTAGGGCTGAGACGAAATGATAATGATTAGCTACGGCCGCACGGACCACTTCAATTCCTCAGACTTGGTTATATATTTTCGAGGGACTGAGGCCAAGCCCAAGGGCTCCGAATTTACCTGAGGTGAGGTCACAGTGTCGAAATGGGCGGCGGCCCAGCCTCATGAATTTTCTATGATAAATGGAACGTCACGGCCTGAGGCTTATCTGTCAAAAGAAAAACAACGAAATTGAATGCAGCCTACGTGGCGGATGAGTAATGCGTGCTAGGAGTTAACTTTTCGGCTCGAAGTCGAATTGATATCGCCTCAGTGGGATCGTTTTAGGCCCAGTTCAGATAATGTTCATTAACATATGTTTATCTGTCTTCTTTGATGCTGTGTAATTTTCGTGTTATCATCAAGGCACTGGGTAGATGCTGTAGATAAAAGTTGTCCAGCTGAGATTTGCATAATTAATTAGTGAGCTTGTGGCTGGGCTTTATAGTGCAAATCAAAAATGCGCATAAATTGGATGAAAACGTTATAAATTGTCCGTAATAAAACACGAATTTACAAAAATATTTGTCGCTTGCTTAGAAAGCAGGTGGCATTTGACAGCATTTGTGAACTGATTTCTGATTTGAATTGGCGCCAAGGGAAATGGAAAAATGTAAATATCAGTGATACAATTTTGAAATATGCTAAGTAGTACAATTTCAAATACAAATTTAAAGTTTGTCCTTTCCCTGACCAGTTATTTTTACATCAGCTTTTCGTGTTTTCACAACAATTGCCTAGAGTCCCCTGGCAGACGTCCCACAATTTCAGATTCTCGAGTGGTAACTGGGTCAGCTCCCGTAGACCCTCCATTACTTTACCACCTACACTGCAGTGTAAACAATTCCAGCACTTGGCAGGACTCGACGACTAGCTCATTTCCCAGGCACTTTGGCTAATTGTCTTCAATTGTCGCCACCTCAGCAACTCTTTTCGCAGAGCCCCTCTCCGGGCCGCCCGCCGGGAAATTCCAACGACAAAGGCTGAAGGAAAAGCAACCAACAAAGTATACAAAATGGAGACTTGGGACTGCTTTGCTTGCATAATGTTCATGCAATTAAAAGCCATGTCCTGGACTCAGGCCGAATGGGCGGGGTCCTTGGCAAGGACGCGGCTCGCGCAAATGAAAAATGAAAAGCGAAATGAAAAATGAGAAATGGAAAATGGAAAAACGCGCGTAGAAAGCGGGCTAAACCACAAATTTGGGTCAGCAGGCGAGAAGTGGAAACTTCTTCATCCCTCGTTTCCCCTTCGCTTTTTTTAAGCGCGCTAATTAATTAAAATGAAGCAGATACAATGGAGCCAAGAATGGATAGTGCGGCAGAAGAACTTACAGCGGAGTTAGCGGACTGAATTACTGCAGGGAAAGGCGTCGAATGGGGCTACTGGGAATGGGATTTATATGTCAAGTGGGGTTATGCTGCAGCCGGGCGGTTTCTTTCTTAAAATAACCTCCTCGGGCAGCAAGAAAGATGTGGATTTTCTGAGTTAGAGGCGATGAAATATTTATTATTAAGCTATAATAATAAGTTGACTTCTTCGTGATGTTTTAATAATCATTAAAAGCCTAATATTGCCAAAAGTTAGTCAATAAAAACAGTAATAGATAATAATTTATGGCATTTGTTGGCAAATCATAAAGAAAACCCTTAATAAATCAAGCGGGAAATAAAGAGATATTTAACATATCAACACTGCTATACAAGTTAATTGAAAATCACACTTGTTAATGCTTTGCAAATAATTTAAGTACGCCAAATATTTAATTTAAAAACATTCCGCCGTCGCACTATTGCTGAATATCAAACGGTCCCAGCTGCTGCAGTTGGATTCGCTTCGCTTTGGTGCGGTTCACGCGTCGTATGAGTAATGAGTAATGAATGGGCCAAAAGCGACCGCAGACCAAAGACTGCTCATCTGCCGGCTCAGCTTTCAGCGCTCGGGTGGCGGCCACAGCCGCCCAGATAATGCTGCAGCCATTTCAATTAAAAATGAAAGAAACAAAACCGAAACCAGCAAATAAAAAAAAAAGCCGAAAAGAAAAGTAAACTTTGAGTGCCGCCGCCGCCGACGACGACGTCATTAATTAGGAATGCTCTCGGAGCAGTCGCCTTTCAAGTTTCTCGAGGGGATTCAAAGAGATCGGCATTGGCCGCCTGGTCGCCATCGCTTTGTGTTGGCGTCGAGGCATAAACTTTTGTGCTGTTGTAATGCGCTTTGTGCAAATTGCAAATAAATTGCAAGACGCCAGCGAAAGGCGTACAGAGAGAGAAATTAAGCTAAGTTTTTACTTGTGTGGTTTTGTAATGGCAGTTATTTGGCAGTAATAAAATTGTTTCCTTTGGCAGTAATCAAATGGTTTCCTTATTAATTTTTGCCTTATAACATTAATTTAGAATGTAATGATTTATGGGGAAGGAATAGTACGAACATTAAATTATTATATTTTATTTTATTAATTTTTACTTTGATTTGTACTCTTGAAAATACAAAACATAAATCTTATTTTATAAATAAAATAGTAAATTAGCACTCACTGCCTTAGAGTTCTTTACAAAGAAAATCGTTAAACAAATTTGATGGGCTTATTGTCTAGTTTTGGTGATCTAATTCCAAAGTCTTTCCTAGATTTCTTAAGCTGGTAAAAAATATTTATAAAAGTCACAATTTTTTCCCATGTAATTTGACTGTACGACGAATGCTAGCTACTTATATTAATGTGGAAAAAAGTACAGAAAATGCTTTTCCACGGTGCACAGAAAAGCCGACAAAAGCCAGGGGAATTAGATGGCCAAACGGGGGAAGGGAGGTCGGGCTCGGTTTTTATGCCGCCAATTTCATGCCACTTTGCATTTTAATTAAAAGCATCCCACCCTTTTTGTCGTTGCAGTCCAGGAATGCACCACAGACTCCGAGGAGCTGATGTACCACCAGGTGCGCGCCTCCTCCTCCTGCAGCGCCCCGCCCGATTTGCTGCTGGTCAGCGAACGTGACAATAATATCCAACTGCGATCGCCGGTGGTGAACATTATTACCACGCCGCCGGGCAATGTCTCCAGTGGCGTGAGCAAGCAGCAGCAGTCGCATCATCAGCACCACCAGACGAACCCGCACCACCACCATTCATCCGGCAGGAGTCATCCTTCGCATTCGGGGAATCCGCAGGATGTGAGCAGCAGTGCCAGCCACAGCAAGCATCTGCGAATCAGCAGCACTTCCAACGGCAAGCACGGCAAATACTCAAATATGCAGCAGCAGCACCTGCCGCAGGATGAGGATGTGGTAGATGCGGCAGCCTCAATGCAGCAGCAGCCGCAGCACAGCGGCCACGCCCACTCACGTCACCTGCACCACCACAAAGAGGAGCGCATCCGGCTAGAGGTGAGTCCAAATGCCATTACCACGCGAATTACCATTGCTCCCCCTGCGAGCAGGTACTTTATGAATTATCCCATATCCCAGTGCCCGGACACAATCAAATTCCATCTTCCAAACCCATAAACTCTGGGCTTAATAGTCCATTCTGATTCCAATTTCAATTTCCATTTCCATTCATTAATTAATGAATTTATGGATTGGATTTGTCTTGTTTTCATCGTTTCATAACACAAATATTTATAGAGTCATTAATTGATGGCCGCTACGAAGGGGTTGAACCGAATTTTATAGAAGTTTGCAGTGGGGTAATTTGACATTAATAAGAGTTTATCTTGCTTGAAGGAAATATTCACTTCAGTTAGGAAATATTTCTGGTTAATTAAAAGCCCTTTATTAGTTAAAAGCGTTCACATGTTAGCACTTTCCCGGGAACCTTACCGTTGAAGTATTTATTTAACTTAGTAAGAATGGATAGAATCTAGATTTTAATTAGAGTATCCATAGCCCCTATTACCAATTCTCTTTTCAATTAGCCAAACAAGTGCTTTGCTTATAAATACAAGGTGATAAATTAAATGATGTTTGATTTTCCATTTGCGGGCTTTTTCCGACCCCCAGCCAGGTGTTTGGTCAAGTTTAATCAACTCGCCGAGGCTGTTATTACCGTGTTGGCCAAAGGCCACCCCCTGGCCACGATTCCTGGCCATAATTCATGACCCACAGGGCACATCGCACATCGACCATAAACTCAACATTTCAATGTGCTTTTAATTAAAATTTCAATGGCTGCTTGCTCACCGCGATGGCCTCAGATTCGGCAGAAGCAGCACCAGCATCAGCTTCAGCATCAGCTTCATTTGTTGTTCCAACATCCCAACCCATGAAAATAAAAATCGAGGAAGCGTGGAAAAATATTTCATTAACACAAGGGCGCCGGCAATTTTCCATTACCACCCACTGCGGACGAACGTTCTCTGTGTGCCTCGGACGCTGTTGCCACTTGTGCCCGTTTCGCCAAAAAATATCAAAACATTAAAATTCAATAAAAACCATTAAAAGCAAAACAACAAACACGAAAAGCACTCAGGGGCAATTAAAAATCTACAAGCCAAGCAGCAGCAAAGGAAATTATATTTATTTGTATGCGACTCAATGGGGGCAGCCCAGTGCGGAGTGGAAATTCTGGGATACTGGCTGCTGGATGCTGGGTTTTGGCCACTTTATCAATGGTAATGGTGGCCCATCTCCTACCCCAGATTTTTTGGGTTGAGCCCCCTGTGAAGATGACGTTGCTGCTTCTGCAGGCGCAAATTAAATATTTAGTCAAATTATGGCCACAATTTTCGACTGGTTTTAGTGGTCTTGTGCAGCTCCCAATTGTTGTTTTTAGTGGCAGCCGGCTGTGGCCTCCGTTCTTGCTCCTTTTTGAAATTTAGCACAGCCCAACTCTACAGGCCCACATGTTGCATTTGCAAAAAGTGTTGCATACTTTCGGGTCGGGCATGAAATTGCAGTGAAATTTTTATTTCTGAAAGTTTATTAGCAACGTTTTTTGTTACTTTTAGGTTTTTCAGTTAAACACTGCATCAAGCTTATGTAGCTGTTCAAAATTTGTGGCCAAAAAGTTTTTGAACACATTTGAGGGCAGAGGAATTTTAGGCTTTTAGTTTGTGCAAAATTCAGAACCAAATCGTATTTATTTGTCTGAGGTGTTAGAAAGAAAATTACATTTTCTGGCATGGTAATTTATAACTCATTAAAAGTTTTTAGAAACTACCAGCAATACATTTGTTTAGGTAACTAAACAGTCTTCTTAAATGTTTTGCTTTGAAGAAAAATGAGTTAGCAAATTCTACAGTGATGGAAATTATAGTTAATTAAAAAGTTTTCCAGTAAATAAACATTTAAGAATACTCGTGGAGGCAAGAATTTAGTCGCACTATTTATTTTTCCATTGTATATAATTAATTTAAAAGAAGTAAATATTTAACATAATGCTATCTGCTTTTATGAAAGTATATTTAAACTAAGTAGATTTATGAGGTGTTAAGGCATAATAATTAATAAGAAATATCATTTTCGGTTGTACAAATGATTTTCACATTTGTTTAGGCCATTAAGATGCTTACCATTAAATGTTTACCTTTGAACTTCAATGAGCAAAGAAATATATTTATTTGCTAATTTGAAGTCCTTTGAATTGTACATTTCGTAAACATAAAACGATCCAGCAATTAACATCTAAAGAGAGTGACTACACAAATCCGATAACTAAGAATAAGAACTCAACAAAACTAAACATTTTCTAAAGTAAACTAAAACTATTTCTGCTAAATTGGATAATATATTCAAACTATTTGAACAAAGATTCTCAATTAAGGCAATGTTAGGACCAACTCTTGCACGCCCTTGGGAAAATTCAATTACCGAAGAATGTTTATTTGCACACTTGATTTAAATCAAATTCAGACCGAAACAATCACTCATCCTGACTCTGTTCGTATTCAAAAACAGGAATTCACCTGCGACGTGTCCGTGGAGGGTGGCAAGTCATCGCAGCCGCTGCAGTTCTCGTTCACGTTCTACGACCTGGACGGGCACCATGGCAAGATAACAAAGGACGACATTGTGGGCATTGTGTACACCATATACGAGTCTATTGGCAAGTCGGTGGTGGTGCCCCACTGCGGCAGCAAGACAATCAACGTTCGGCTCACCGTCAGTCCCGAGGGCAAATCGAAATCACAGCCGGTGGTGGCTGTGCCTGTGCCAGCCGGATTCAGTAGCAGCCATGCCAGCAAACTGAAGAAGTTGCCCACGGGTCTGGCGGCCATGTCGAAACCCTTGGCGGCCGGCGGAGTGGGATCCGGTGGTGCGACAGCGCTAACGACATCCGCTGGCAACCGCCGCCAGCATCGCTATCGACCACGCAAACTGATTAAGTCCGATGACGAGGACGATGACAGCAACAGCGAAAAGGAGAAGGATGCGGCCCCAACTAGCGAACAGGCCAGCGGAAGTGGGGCCAAGGCGGGCGGAAAGAGCCATCACCAGGCCAGATACCACCATAATCAGAGCCAGAACCAGAAGAACAATTCTCGGGCGGAACAGTGCTGCACGGACCAGAATACGCCGGACAATGGCCACAATACCTATGAGAATATGCTGAATCTCAAGTGCTGCAAGCCGGAGAGCGACCAGGTGGACTGTCCCTCCCATCGCCAGCACCATCAGCTGCGGCAGCAGGACATCTACATGAAGCAGGCCACCCAGCGGGTCAAGATGTTGCGAAGGGCGCGCAAACAAAAGGTAGGCACAAGGTAACAAACGAAATCATGGCAAAAACAAATCAATTATTAATCGAAACTAAAACTGCTGCCAGATAAAGCACGTAAAATTATGCATGGAATAATTGAACTAAGAGGGATGAATGTTAATTTTTTAAACTGTTAATATGTAAATTGAATGGGCTTCATAAACACTAAGGATTCGTCCGAAACAAAAAGTATCTTTCTCGAAAAGATAGTGGCCCTTACTTAAGTTTCTTTAAGACTAATCAAACGAGTTAGTATACCTTGCCTGGCAGCAGTTGCAAAACTGAATCCCGTCCCATGAAATGTCGCCTTTTGTTTTTGTTATCTTTTTGTTACTTACCATATGCGTTCAGCGTTTATAGTTTCCTTCCTTATAATTTAATTTTATTTTCTATTATTTTTGGTTACTCATCATCGTCATCAATCAAACACCAACAAAAACCAGTACCAGGATCACTGCCTCGAAACGCGACAACGCAGCCTGTCAGTGGGCAATGATTCCTCGTGTCAGAATCGCCATCTGCAGCCACAGCAACCACCGGTGACTGCCTCGCCCCCCCAACCGCTGAACCACAAGAGCGCATCGGGGTCACCGCCTCTGGGTGGTGGTGGTAGCGGCGATATGATGCTCGATGGTGTGCAGCTGCGGCAGCCACGCCCCCAATCCCTCACCCCACAACAAAATCAGCAGCAGCGCAAGTCGGCCGAGTGCTGGAAATCGGCTCTAAATCGCAACGATTTAATTAGCATCATCAGGGAGAGCATGGAGAAGAATCGCCTGTGTTTTCAGCTGAATGGGTAAGCCAATTCGTGATGAATCCACCCCAAGTCCACAATGATTAGCGGCGGAGTGAGCCGGAATGAGGCCGGAAAAGTCAACAATGCTCATTTTCCAAAAATAATTTAACGAGGATTATCAGAAGAAATTTGGCTTAAATGATTTGGTTTTAAAAGAAAACACAAAACAATTTATTATTCATTTTTATTACAAGTTTGTATAATTTAAATTAAGCCGGCTTTCAAAATTTGTAAATTTTTCGCTGCTTACTTAAATTAATATATTTATGAACACAGCTTTATAATTTATCGCAATTTCTTTAAATGCCAACCAATTTAAGACAACAATTTTAAATCAGTGAAAATCAATCTTAAATTTGTTCTTCCCACGAATTTCATTTTTCATCCTTCTAAACAAAATTCATTGGCTTACTTTATGATTTCCATGATTTGTGGCGACTTTTAACCTCCTACAAATACCTTTCAAATCTTCCACAACAACCTGAAAAGCAAAAACTAATTGAAGGCATACCTCTTCGTCAATTTTACAGAAAACCCCAAGCCAATGTGAGTCCCATACGGCAACCGGCAGCACAACAACAACCACAACAACAGCAACGCCAACGCTGCAATACGGGCTCGAAAATCCCCACGTTAATTGCCAACCACAGTCCGGTCGCCCAGCAGTCGCCGCTCAGCTGCAGTCCACCTACGGCGGATACCACCACCACCAGCATTCCAGTGGCACCTCCAGCCATCGAGGTCAACGGTCAGCAGCAGCAGCAGCAGCATCTCAGCCATCCCAACCACCACAACCACCACGAGCATCCCCAACCGCACATACCCATCTACCATCAGCAGCTGGCCATTAATCCGGCCGTCCTGGCCGCCCAGCAAACTCACAATACGGCCCACAACAAGCTGAATCTATGCGGCTACGATTCCTTTCTGCATGCCACCATCTGTGGGGGCGGGGCAGCAGCTCATTCGCCCCCGGCCACTCCTAGTAACGTGGCAACCGTTCAGCCGATACCCAAGAAGAGCCAAAAGAACCTGCTGCAGGGATACCAGCGATTGGATCAACAACAGCAGCAGCAGCGAAGCAGCAAGGACTACAAGAACTATGGCAATCTCATCTATGCCAAGTTAAGTGAGCAGTTGCAGCAGAAGGATCGGGAGCAGAGGCGCCAGCGGCACAAGCAACAGCAGCAACATCAGCTGTTGCAGGATCCGAACAAGGATGTGACTCGCTCAGAGCCACGGCCAGCCACCTCAAACTCCAGCTCGGCGGGCTCAAAGATCTACGGTGATGCCGTTGAGTGTGCACACCTCCTGGCCAGCGAGGAGGAGGACCTGCCACCCAGTCCTCAACTCACCAGCACGCCCAGTAAAGTGGTCAGCACCGACACCCTTATCGACCTCAACGACGATGTGGGCGAGGCTGTGGCCGAGGCAGTCACCGAAGGTGGCAAACAGTCGCTGGAGACCGAAGAGTTGGGCCAGCAGGTGGAGGTGGAACTGGACACCAGTGCCTCCAGCTCCATGATCCACCGCTATGTGCACGAGCACATCCACCACCACTATCACCACTTCAAGGAGCAGCAGGATGTCTAGGCTAAATCGAGGGACTAACTATAAACTATTTGAATGTTGCTTATGTTTCAGTCTATTGATTAATGTAGAGAGAATTGTAATTTAAAGTAAGCCTTCAACTAAAAACAACAAAATATTCAAAAACGATATTAGGGCCAATGACAGTGGGGTGGGAAGAGTGAGTTTGAAAGGGGCTTTAGTGTTCATCAACCCTTAAAAATATATATTTAAATTTTATATCAGACAAAAAATATTTCATTTCTTTTTAATTATGTGCAGCCAATAGGTTAATAAGATAAAATAAAAATGTAGTTTAGCTTCAAAAAGCTTCTCAAAATTCTCAATGGGTTCCTGATAAATTAGATTTATATCTAGCCAATTTCAATCTCACTTTTCCAACTTTTCCAACTTTTCCTGTGGAAATCTTTAGAACCAAACCTAAAACTCATCGAAGATTAAACCCACTGTGAGATCCACAGGTCCCAGCATATTTGTAGCCTCTTTAGCTTACGCAGAAATCAAAAAGAAAACAAAAATTATGCGCCTTTTGCCTTAGCAACAATTGAATCGCCGCTTCGCCATGCAAACACAGTGCAACATGGAAAAAGTGAAAGCAGTTTGGATTTCAGATTTGTAAACTAATCATTAAAAACAGTCAAGTCCCAATGGGTCTTAACTTGTCCCGATGAGTGCTTTCCAAATCGAGAATCCAAGTTGCTGCTACACTTCAAGACCCAAGAAAAGTTGCAAAGTGTAACCAACTAGCAACATGTTGCAGCCACACATATCATATTGTTGCCCCAAGCATTTTGTGTTGCTGTGTATGTGTACATGTAAACTAAATGGGAGAAAAACTATTGTTTAGTGCAAATTATTAAATCAAATTGTTGTCTATGATATAAAATTTTATGCGCCGCTTTTTAAGTGTTTAGACAGAGAGCAACAGAGGTTTATGGCCGCCAGTTTTAAGTTAACTATCGATCGTGTACATTTATGTTATCTAAGCCAATTAATTTAAATACTATTCTTAGTTTCTAACACTAACACCAACAAGAAGACAAGCAACAATGCAACTAAGTACTAAACCACAAACAACAACAAACACAAATTGTAGTTCAATTATTATTTTCAAACTTGTTTTTAATTTCATCATCTGTCCACCAATCGAGTTACCAATCCAATCAAACGAAAGAAGCACAAAAACAAAATGCATTTAACTCTTATTTACATAAAAAAGACTGATTTCCAATTAAACAATATATTAATTAATTGCATATGAATAAAATTATATATAAATATATATAGACAATTTATGAGAAATACTAAATAAATTATTGAATTGCTAAACTGAATTTGACTTGAGCATTTATTTAATGATTTATTTAAAGTGAAAATTTAGAAAACACAATGGGATCACGGCTGTTTCTTGCGTTACACCATGGCTAGCTTCCTGGATCTCTCCGCAGTATGTTAAACCATCTTGGTCGAGAAAGAACATTCGCCCGCTAAACCACAAATGAACTGCGTACGAAAAATCAGATCCACATTTTTGTACACCAGGAAGTGCGTTTTGTGGGAAGGATAATCGGGGCTCTACCTGGTCGAAGGCTACAGCCCAACTGAATAATCGAATAAATCGCACAATCGCAAATAAACTAAATTGATTAATTTTCAACGCAAATTTTCTTAATCTAATAATCTAATAATAATAATAATACTTAATCTTGAAATACTAAATCTAGTCCTTTCCTCGACTAAAATCGCCTGAGTTCCTTTTCCGAAGGAGATTATACGTCAACGTTTCAAGTCTACATGTCAACAACTTTTAGAATTTTTACAAAATCAATAAAGCCTGACAACCCGTATTTATTTCGTGGGGTTTCGTTGTATACAAAAAATATATATTTTAAGTTATAAGGTATTTTCGGACATCTTCATCCAATAATTTAATGAAGGTTCAAAGGAATAACCGGTCGCCTTTAAAGGAAAAGAGTTTTTAAAAATCGCCAATATCAATAAAGAATCAATTGTGATTTCTAGGAAAAGTATTTCGAATCGAATAATCTCTCTGAACGCAATATAGAAGAAGTGATATTTCGATATCTAATTCAGCACTTGAGATATATCAGCTCTATGTATACATCTTTAGCCATCCATAACATACATTCTCCTTTAGTTAATTCAAAAATGGTTTGATCAATTCTATGATATCTATGAAATACCATCTGATATATAATATTCCTCTTATTCCCTATTATCATTATTTCAATCTGAGCTATAAATCAGTAAAAGCGAACTAGTTGTTATTTTTGAGCTTCCTAATGCACATTTTCTCTCATTGGAGAGCCAGATAAACATTTAGCATGAAAATATTGCCGGCCGCCAACAAATTGGATATTGTCTTGGCTTTTCGACAACACGACACAGAGATCTAATTTTAAATAGTCGTGCGCCATGTGACAGAGATGTGGATGTGCAGAGAGATCTGAACCCGCTCGAGCGTTTTTTTTTTTGGCAGCAGGCGAAGACACAAAGGAAAATGTTCTCGCAATCAGATCGCGAGTAGAGTCCGAAGACGGAGCACTGAAAATTGTTTTTCAGTTTCCTCAGTGAAATTTCAACCGCGCGGCATTACGCAAACACAGATTAGTTGAAGATATAAAGGAGATTTATTGAAGATCTTCTGATTGGTGGAGGAGATTGCTTTCGATGGCTTCAAGTTCGCTGACATCCTGCGCCTTATGTCAGGCCAAGGCATCGCAATTGTGCGCCGCTTGCCGGAATGTAGTCTATTGCAGTCGGGAGCACCAGAAGGAACATTGGAAGAAAGGTCACAAATCGGAATGCAAGTGCTTCGAAATAGCCACCAATGAAGTTTTGGGCAGGCATCTAAAGGCCACCAGGGATATTAAAATAGGGGAGCAGATCTTGAAAGAGGCGCCTTTGGTTCTGGGACCCAAAGTCGCCTCAGCTGCACTTTGCCTGGGCTGCCACAGGAATCTATTGGCACCCGAAAAGCCAAAAGGAAACTACTATAAATGCAGCTCCTGCAGTTGGCCATTATGTGGAAAGGAGTGCGAGGACTCACCCCACCACAAAGCCGAGTGCCAGCTAATGTCGAGTAGCAATTTCCAATCCAAAATAAACTATACACCTGGAGAAGAGGAGCGCAAGGAGTCGGCTTATTGTGTGATTATGTTGCTTCGTTGCATGCAACTCAAAACCAAGGATCCGGAGGCTTTCCTTAAACTTTACACTTTGGAAGATCACCTTAAGGAGCGTTTGGAAACTCCCTTGTATCAAGTTCTACGTGCCAATCTCATTACCTTTATTAAAACTGTATTAGGTTTAAGGGAGTGGCTGGAGTTGGACATCCTGCGCATTGCTGCCATTCTAGACACAAACACCTTTGAAGTAAGGCAACCCAGAGAGAGGAGAAAAATTCGAGCCCTCTATCCTGGAGCGGCTATGATCTCGCACGACTGTGTTCCGAATATGAGGCATCGTTTTGATGACGATATGAACATTGTGTTCTTGGCCAAGAGGAAGATAGCCAAGGGAGAGATCCTGAGTATTTCCTACACTCAGCCTCTGAGAAGCACAATCCAGCGCAGGGTGCACTTAAGACAGGCCAAGTGCTTCGACTGCTCCTGCGCTAGGTGCCAGGATCCTGAGGAGCTGGGCACCTTTGCTGGGGCACAAACCTGTCTAAAATGCAAAGCAGGAAAGGTGAGCTTGCAACTAATTTCGGTTATACCAATATTTTCTCACTTCAATACCATTTTCTTTTATTGCAGGTAATCTCCCTGAATCCCCTGCAAAATTCAGCGATTTGGAAATGTCAGCTCTGCAATTTGAAAAGGTCAGCTAAAGAAGTGGTAACTTCAGATGCAGAGCTTCAACAGGAATTGGAGTCGTTGGACAAGACAACACCCGTAGCTCTAGAGGACTTTATATATCGCCATCGTGTTGATCTTCATGATACCAACACCCATATTCTGCAAGCTAAATACGCTCTCACCCAGCTATATGGAAGTGCTCCTGGATTCGCAATGGAGGGTATGTATTACATTTTAATAAACTATATTTATTTCTAATATTTAAAATCTTTGCTTGTTTTAGAACTCTCTGAGGAAAAGCTGAACAGAAAAGTGCAACTTTGTGAGGAACTCCTTCAACTAGCCGATATTTTTGATGGTGGCTGGAGTATTTTTCGGGGAAACCTTCTTATAGATATGGAAGAAGCATTAGTCGCACAAGCCCTACGCTCAGAAGACGCAGAGGAGTGCGAGGAGAAGCTGAGAAACGCAGCGGAAATGCTAAGGGAAATCCGAAACATAATGAAGCACGAACCGGAAATGCAGCAATTGCTATTGGAACGTCAAGTTATCTTGAATTCCGCCCTTGAGCGATTTGAAAAAGTTGAGAATTAAGAATATATAACTCTTTGACAAATATTTCTAAAAAATATTTGTTTTAATTTAGCTATGAGATGAAGAAGTCATCATCGTTATCAGATTTTAAATTCGCGCCAAAATTGGTAATGCAGCAGGCAGTATCTAATTAGTATTCTTGTTTTATAGCTTCTAGCTTCCATCCACACTGTACCAGTTTAGTGCGTACACAAACCTTTCTTTGAGTTAATGGTATTTTTATGTATCTTGTCACTGGTAACATTAAAAATTTAATTTCACGTGTTTTGTGTTTATATTTTTCTTATCCTCAAATAAATCCATTTATTGTGTTCAAATGGAATCTTTAAGTGCTGAAGTACCACCAGAAGTAGAAAATAAAATTATGGAAGTCGAGGAAAGTGTGGAAAATGTGATGGAACCCGAGGAAACAGCAGCTGAAAATGGGAAGGAGGAAGTCGAAAAAGCCGGCGAGGAATTCGCGTATTTGGAGCGAAATGAGTTTACATCGGAAATTTATAAAATTGAAGTGAAAAACCTTGGCTATTTTGGTATTGGGGTAGGTAAATCTTTACTCCATTAAACTAGATTAACAGCAAATTACTTTTCTTGTAGGAGTTCAAGAAGCTCTTGAGAAACACACTCAAATTCGACATGACGAAAATCAAGGCTCCGACCCGAAAAGAGTTTGCTTTTGTTTGCTTTCGCAGTTTGGAGGACCAGCAGAGGGCATTGGAGACCCTAAATGGATATAAGTGGAAGGGAAAGGTCCTGAAAGCACATTCTGCCAAGGCCTCCGCTGATCCTCTCCAGAAAAAGCGAGCAGCCGAAGATCAGGAGTCGGAAAGAAAGCCCAAAAAGCAGCGCACTGCAGTAGAGGCCACGTGTCCATTGTCCCATATTCCTTACGACCAACAACTCAAACAGAAATCAGAGGAAATGTCTGCACTTTTAGCAAAATATACCCAAGAGCTCAGGCGCATTAATCCGCGGGCAAAGCCCCATCTGGATAAATTCAAATTCCAAGAGGTTCTTCCCTCTCCCACTGTCGATGGTTACAGAAACAAAAACGAGTTCACCGTGGGAAAGAACTCGGCGGGAGAATTAGTGGTGGGATTTAGATTGGGTTGCTATAGCGATGGATCTGTAGAAGTAGCTGAGGTCCAGGATTTGCCACATCTACCAGTGCAAGCCAAATGGGCTGCTCTCAGTTTCCAAGAGTTTGTAAGGAAGTCGAAGTTCCTGCCCTTCAATCCAGATGGAAATGTAGGTCACTTCCGGCAGCTCATGGTACGGTGTTCAAGCGCCACGGGCGAATTAATGTTGGTAGCGGGAGTATACTCTTCGAATTTAAGTGAAGATGAACAAACTGAACTGAAACAGGAACTCAAATCTTTCTACGATGAGGCTGATAAAGATGCCCCCTATAAATGCACCTCCTTGTATTACCAAGATGTCAAACATCGGGAAGCAGGACAGATGATAAATCCAGTGGAGCATATCTCCGGCAGCACACATATCACAGATACCATACAGGGTCTTCAGTTCCGAATTAGCCCGTTGGCCTTTTTCCAAATAAACACAGAAGGAGCAAATGTATTGTATCAAAAGGCCATTGATTTAGTTGCTCCTACGAAGGATACTACCATGTTGGATATCTGCTGTGGCACTGGAACTATTACCCTCGCTTTTGCCAAGCACTGCAAAAAAGTTATGGGTGTGGAAATCGTCCCTGATGCCACTAAGGATGCCGAATTTAATGCCGAGGCGAATGGAATCAAGAACTGCAAATTCTTTACCGGAAACGCAGATGACTTTATCAAGAGCATGGTGCGCGAAGCTCTCTATGAACAGGAGGTGGGCAAACCTGTGGACCTCATTGCCGTGGTTGATCCTCCTAGAGCTGGATTGCGTAAGTTTATGCAGTACTTAATCTCTTTTTTTAACTGACATATTTTTATTGCTAATTTATTATATTATATTATTTTTTATATTAATGGTCGCGGTTATGGTTAATTGACATAGTTAACTAACAAGCTATAGCTTAACCTTTAAAAAATATTTGGAATCCTGCAAAGTTGAAGTATAATCCAGAGCGCATTCAACAATCGAATCATTTTGGTGTTTTAAACAAAAATAAACACAGATATGCATGATCTAAAAATAGATTGTTTTTGTTTTAATTATAATTTATTAGCTTAACCTCTGTATGTTTATTTGTCGAAACAGAAATATTGTACAATTGGGCAAGCTGTTGCAATATTTACTTGACCTAACCTTACTCCAACAGAAAGATACATGTTATTTATTATTTCGTTTGCTTAAATAATTCTTATTATTTGGGATAATTTATTAATAATTCCTTACATTTAATACTTACCTTTTTCATTACAGATCACCGCTCTATAGCCGCCATCCGATCAGCGGATGCTATTAACCGACTGGTTTACGTATCCTGTAATCCACACAGTGCCAAAAGGAATTTCATCGAGCTGGCCAGACCGGAATCAAAGCAATATAAAGGAGAACCATTCTATCCGAAGTCCGCGGTGGCCGTTGACATGTTTCCCCATACAACGCACACCGAGCTGGTCATTCTGTTCGAGCGTGAGCCAAAGACAAAGGCGGATGAGAAGCCAGCGCCAGAGGAAGCGGCTGCAGAGTCAAAGTCTGAGACAACCGCAGATGCTGTAGGCGGGGAAAACACCGCATCTTCAACGTGACGTGTTTGTTGCCGGGTACAGTTTGCTCCGCTGCAATCTCTTGCACATTTCTATAATCTCTTTCTATAATCTTTCAGGTCAGGCGCGATTCGCTCAGACACCAAACACCCAGATGCCTCATTACCTCCTATCTGACGCGTTGCTAGCGTCTATCATTGTCTCTCTTTGTGGCGGCTGCTGCTACGACTTTTATTGTTTTAAATTGATTTAATTGTATTTACGCTGTGCGACGGGGAGGAAGCGGCAATAGTGACAAAAGCGACTTCCTATTTAGTAGAAGACTCTAAGTTGGAAGCCCCGTTATACTCGACATAATCCAAGTCCCCATCAGTTTTATTCAGGCCTCTGGAGGCGTCTGCGTGTGTGATAAGAATCGCTGATCGAAAGAATTGTGATCGTAAAGGTGTAGAAACCGCGTGACAAAACCGCTGGGAGGTGCTCCAAGTCCAACGCCCCCTCAAGGGCAATCGGTGAACGACGACCCTGACAACGATCATTGATCATCATGTCCGACCAGGTACCGCTCAACGATTATTTCGTAGTCTAAACATATGTTCTATTGTTTAAAAGTAGAAAAAGTAGTTTTTATAAAAGATTGACGTTGATATTGATCTATCAATATATTAAATGATGGGAAGCTTATTTAATACGTATGACGTAAATGTTTAATAACTTTATTTGTCGCTTTCAGATTATATTAGCATTTCCGTTCGAATTAATTATAAAAGTTTTAGTCATTTTTTTAGACTTTTGCACTTGCTCTTTAAATTCTTGTTATAGGAGTATATTGAACTCAGAAGCGTTATGAAAGTATAATTACTTCCAGTAATAGAACAAGAAAAGTCAAATGAATATAAAATCAGTACTGAAATGGGTATTGCTGATTGTTCAATTATTGCTCAATGAAATCTGTTTACATAAAGCTTATCTAAGGTAAACATCGCATTATTTTGCTTTTCCGATTACGAGTACTAACCGAGAAATGGTTGGGTGATGTAAACAACAGCTGTAGCTGTAAACAAAGGCAATATACATAACCACAAAAATATTGTTGTTTTGTAAAGGAGAACAACAAGCAAACGTGACCAAAATCATGTTGAATTTAGAATATTTTTATGCGACTTAACTTCCTAGAGGGGGGCATGTCAAAAGCATATCTATAGGGAAAAGCAAGAAAACAAGCTATCGTAAACATTTAAATAAATAAACAAGAAGAGTAAATGAATTGGACTTTGGCACCAATGGGGCGATTTGTCTACACAGCAAAATGATTATACGAATTATAAAAACACAAATATTGATGGAGCGGGAGGAGCCAAGATGAGCCCAAAGTGTGCCGCAATTATTATAAATCAAATCCAGTTCTAAAACGAGGAGACATTTATTCAGAGAATGGGAAATTAATACAAAGGCGTCCAAAAATTCGACTGAACTTGTTTATTCATATGTCTAAATTTATACTTTCTTGTAAGGCACGAAAGCAGTGCCTAGCAACATCAAAAAATTATGCGATTACGATCGGAATGGAAAATGGGGAATGGGGAATGGGGAATGGGGAACGGGGTACTCAAGACCTTGACCGGAGAGCTTTGCTTTCGAAGCCAAAAGCTTGAGTAGTTCTTGTCTTATCAAACGTTCAAATGTGCGATGTAAACAAACAACGAGGAAAACGGCAAATCCACAACCGACGGAAACCGGTTCCCCCAAAGAGACATACATATACATATATATGTCGTACTACAAGAGAGAGCTTTTCAGCTGATGCCATTCAGCATCGGCGGATGAGAAGCCCTGACGAGGGCCCGACTACGACTACGCCCCACAAATCGGACAGAAATCTTTTCACGTGCTTAGCACCATCGCTGCCGACAGCTGCACACGACCAACACGTTTTCTCAGCGAAGCAAATAGCCTCGTGGCACAGTGGGTGCACGGGGGATTGTCTGTGGTCTCTGGTCTCTGGTCTGGTCTCGAATATGCGCCGGCCCCAATGAATCGCTGTTGTCATCTGCGCTCAGCCTGCGAGCTTTTGGATTGCGTGTTTTGCTGAGCAACAAAACTACTACGCGATTTATGAAGAGTTTTAGTGGGGATACCCTTGAAAAAAGGGTATATGTATACGGATACCAGCCTCACGTAACTCGGGATTGGTATAGGTTAGAGCTGTGAGTTTTGGCATCCAAACAGAGCTTAATCATATAAAAAATATTATGCGAACATTTTTTACAAAATGTTTAAATGTTTACTTTTATAAAATTATCTATGATTTCTACCTCAAAATAAAACATTAGGTGATTCCTTTAGTATGGCACAAATATCAATCAATATTTCTTATCTGCCTCGGATCTTTATTGGCATATAATTAGGCTCGCTTATAAACGTTCAGTTAATTATTTTTCCCTAATCGGTCATCTGCTTTGCTCTCCTGTCCTGATTCTTTCCGATCGAGGGCATTGCTAATTCGATTAATCTTCATGTTTTCTGTATTATCTGGTGTGTTTCTCTGTTTTCTGTTTCGCCGTTGCCCGTCGATAGAGGCCAACAACATTTTGAAAAAGCCCAAGCCGCAACTGTACCGCCGGACTGAAAACCAAAACAAATCGCCAAGTCGTCGGATACGTCTACATACGTCTCTCACACAAAGAAAACGGGCAGTGGCGAAAAAGCTCTGCCACTCGGTTTCGATAAAAAGAAATCGTTTAAATTGCGCGCACAACAAAAGCGCCAGAAACAGTTGCGACTGCAACGTCGAATTGTGACGACGGACCGTCCACAGCGTCCTAGTTCCCAACAGAAAGGATACAATTATAAACAAGCAATCAAATAAAGCAACAAACCCAAAAACCAAGTACAAAATGCTTGCCTAGCTAAGGAAACTAAAATATTGCGCATACGCCGCATAGTGCAAACAAATTAACTGTGATACAAGTTGAATTTTCTTGATTTTCGTTGGTCCTCGCACCAAAGCAACCTATAACTACCTAATTTATTTGTGCTATACCCAAAAACCAAGAAGCTGAAACAGAAGCAAAATGTCGGTGCCAATGCTGCTGACCCCCATGGAACCCCAAAGTCCGGATGACCATATGCAAAATGTAATTACCAAATTCTATACTCACTACCGGAAATGTTTGTAAATGGATTTTAGAGATTATTTCGACTGTAGATATAATGCAGGTGTTTGAGCTTTGACTTTTTTCGGTGTCTGAAGGTCGATGCTGTTGTCATCGGACATTTGCATGTCTTTTGCGTGTTTTGTTTATGCAATTTTTGTGGGTATACCAGAATCTATACGTCAGAGGGGACTGGAGTGGAAATTGGTTAAATATATGTATAATTGTTACCTAAATGTTAGGGCAACCACCTGGGTGGGGAAATAATTGCCAACTGGAGAAATAGTCAAATGGTTCAAGCACACCTCTCTTCAGGGATAGGCATGAAGAAATGGATTGACGAGGAATGAAGTATGTTTCTCAAGTCCCATATAAATAAATTTAAATAAATGATGTCATATCACAATTATTTGAGTACTCCAACATCTAGTTTCAGTAGGTTCTATATAATATACATCCCACTTCTATTATATACTATATTCTTCGTATAAGCTCCACAAACTGAATGCCACATGTTGCAAAAGGTCTCACCTCACGTGACTCAATCACTTGGGTTTCAAGTTTTCTATAGGGTTAAGCTTTCGAGAGAGACCTCAGCTCAAGTGGCTCATGTCTGATTAGATGTTAGCTTATTAATTTCTGAAGAGCCTGTCATAAAACATCAGGCTGATATATGATTCCTGATATTACACGACTGATAACAAGTTCAACTGAAATACTAGCCACGAAACACATGGACGAGCTTTTCCCCTCTACTATAAATAAAACGCACGCCAAGAAGTGAGTACAAGAAAAAACGCCCCAAACATAAAAAAGCTTTTTGAGTCAGAAATTTCCCAAAACAAAAAACATATGGCAGAATTTGCAGAGAGCTATTGGGAGCGAAAAAGAGAGCGCCTGCGTTGAAAACACGTGAAATGGTGTTTAGAAATCGAGTCAAAGCTCGAATATCATTTGAAAATTAGCATAGGGTTAATAAATCAAAAGTTGAAAAACAATTTCCTTGATAACACAATTGGCTTGAAAAGTTTTCTATGTTTTTGAGCACCACTTCGGGGTTTTCCCCCCCGCAAATAATCACAAGGCTATGCTAATTGTGCCAAGAACAAGAAAACGCTAAGAAATCGCCCGAAAAAACGCACCGGCTGACGCAATTAGGGCAAAAATAAAAAATGCGGAAAACTATATGTTGTCTAACTACATATTAAATGCCAAATTGCTCAGTTCAGAAAATTTCACCAGAACACGCGACTTTTGCCGCCCCGTTGTTGTTGAAATGTTGCCAAGGCGGAGGAAGTATATGCCTATGGGCAGATCTGAACAGTTCGTCGGTTAGGTGGGTGGTTGCCTTGTCCTCCACTGATCATAAATCTAGGCAGCTCGGTAAACAAATTCTGTGCGAGCACAGCACGTGTCGATTTAATTGAATTTTTGGTTAATTTATGGGTCCGCTCTACTTACATAAACTGTGCCAATTGCGATTGTGTTTAGCGCCCAGTTGTCAGGGGCTTGTCGGTAGGTGTAGGGCACTCGGCAGCCGTTGCATCACCGATCCTCTGCCATGGCAGCCGTATCAGAAACCGCAGCAGCGACAAAAACAGCAACAGTCGGCGAAACCACGTCAATTGCACTTGCTTCCGTGCGGACTACGCGCGTTTCACTCAAAGGTAAACCGCTCGATATCAAGCGTTCTTCTATTTACATTTTGTGCCGTTTACAGTTTAAATTTAATGATATGAATAATTACAACGTAATAAGTGGCAATAACATGTTGTTCAAATCCCAATATTGGCTTGAAATGTTTTGCAAAGCCTTTATGTTCCTTTGTATTCAAAACTATATACGTCATAATCGACTTTATGGCCCCTATAAATCAAAAAAGAATATGTAGTAGAGTGTGCAATTGCTATAATTAAATGTGTTTATAACATTTTTCTTTACAAAGTATTTATTTATATACTTTCGGGGGGTTATCTTTTTGACAAGTGGTTACGAAAATAGAATGTTGTCTAAAGGCAGGCTTAGCAAAAACGAAACAAAATAAATCATGTTACTGGACGGTAGATCAGTGGGCTAACAAACTGAGTCAAATATATTGTTTTTTAATAGTTCAGCTATTGATAATCGGCGAGATGATCTTTAGTCGGGCCCAGCTCCAGCTCTACTTCAACACGTGATCTTGTTTGCGTCTCTGAAAGTCACGAGCGGTTCGGGAGCGACTAAAGACGCGTGCTTATCGCGCGAACATGTTTTCGATCCTAATTTCAGAAATCGGAGAATGGGGCGAGCTGCATGGCGGGGGTTAGGGGGAATGGGGGTTAGGGAGCAGAGACAGCAGACAGTCGACGCCCCGCCTAGAGAAACTTTATCAGTGAGAAATGAAATCCGCAAGGGGTCATCGACTAATCTCGCTGGCACAGCAGGAAAGTTGCCGAGTATTTAATAGCGGACTTCGCCGACCGATCGACTTTCAGTCGGCGTCCGTTCTTCATTCCAAACCGTTGGCCATGTCTCGGACTGTACTAATCCTGGCTATTGCCTTGTCCTTGCAGTGTGCCGCGTACGTGGACGGAGCCTCTCTCACCTATGGAACCGGAAACGAGCTGGATTCGGGATCCTCCGTCGCCTGTAAGCCCACTCTGCGGGAGTTCAATGTGCGACTGGAGGTTCCTTTGGCTGCCGAAGAGCGTCTGGGACTTACCGGCGATGTAAAAGCCCTCGGTGAGTGGCAGCTGTCTAGAAGTGTGGCCCTGGAATCCCTAGATGAGCTCAACTGGCAGGCCACGGTGCCCCTTCAATCTTGCCGCCAACTGGAGTATCGCTACTTCGTCTACGTGGAGGATCTATCTGGCTACAAGCAGATCCGTAGATGGGAGACTCACTTCAAGCCCAGATCCCTAGGACCTTGCTCGGAGCTTCAGTGCAGTCAGTTGGACGTTTTCGGAATCACCTCGGACAATTCCGATCTGAAGCCACAGGTGCATCGCGGCTGGCTCAACCATGAAGTGATAGTGCAGCTTAAATTCAACGGAGAGAAAATGTTTCAGGTGCACGACATAGAGACCTTTGATCCCCAGCATGTCCAGCTGAAGATTGTGCCCGTGGAGCTAACCGCTGGACTCCATGTGGAATATTCTAAGCAGGAGTACGGCAAGAGTCAGCTGGAGCAGCAGCCCACTTTCGGAGTACCCTACACTAAGGGGGACATTATCATTTTCCACATCACGCTGCCGCTCGAGAAGATGATGCAGCAGCACTTCCGCTTGGAGTGTTACAGTATGTCAAACGAGCTTCTTGGCAGCGCAAATCTGGCCAGCTCGGATGTGATTGGCAGCGAGGGATTGCTGCACCTACCCATCAAGTCGGCCAAGGATGCCGAAGAAACCCTGGCCAGGTTGAGGCTGCCGTATGTAACAGTGCAGCCTTATCGCTACTCGCCGCTGGACTTCAAGAACACCTATGCTCACTACTGGCCCAAGAGCTGGCCCAATCTGGATGTGGGTCATCGTGGAAACGGCAAGAGTTACATTGCAAATGCCCCTGCTGAGAGGGAGAACACCATCGCCTCTTTCCTGAGTGCCCATGAGCATCATGCAGACATGATCGAGTTGGATGTCCACTTGACTGCCGATGGTGTGCCTGTGATTTATCACGATTTCGGACTGCGAACTGCTCCTCCTGGCAAGCAAATAAGCCGACCAGATCAACTAGAGTACGTGCTGATTAAGGACATCAACTACAGCCTGCTTAAGAGGCTGCGCATCTTCTCTGTGATCGCCGGTCAGGTGGTTGAGTATCCTTCGCATAACGCCGAACCCAGGACCGAACATCGCATCTTCCCAACGCTGGTGGAGGTGCTTGAGCAGCTGCCCAAGTCCCTGGGTATCGATGTGGAGATCAAGTGGCCACAGCGTCGCCAAGGCGGAGGATCAGAGGCTGAGCAAACCATTGACAAGAACTTCTTTGCCGACAAGGTACTCCATCAGGTGATCCAAAAGGGCTGCGGCAGACCTATAATCTTCTCCAGCTTCGATGCTGACATGTGTACGATGCTGAGGTTCAAGCAGAATATTTTCCCGGTGATGTTCCTCACTCAGGGAGAGACCAAAAAGTGGCAGCCGTTCCTGGATCTGCGAACACGGAACTTCATTGCTGCCGTGAATAATGCTCAAGCTTTCGAGTTGGCTGGAACAGCTCCGCATGCAGAGGACTTCCTGGGCGAAAATGCCCCGGAAATGCTACAAAAAGCCAAGGACTTGGGGCAGATAGCCGTGATCTGGGGCGACGATTGCAACTCCAAGGAGCGCGTGCAGTATTTCACCCGGATCGGGGCCACAGCCACTTGCTACGATCGCAGTGATCTCTTCATGCCGGAGGGCAAACAGGAAGCGTTCTTCAAATCACCCGCACTTATGGCCGAATTCGCGGCCCAATGCCGGGTCTAAAGAAATAGGGTTACTAAAATGAAACGGGCGGGTAAATCTAAGCAATGGTTAATCATTAGGCTTTATAAGTTAGTATGTATATTTATTTAAACACTAACTGGGAAAGAGAAATGTGAGAAGCTTTAAAGAAGTTGGGTAATTTGCAGTTTCTCGTTGCCCAACGGAAACATCGAAACGGAGACCCATAAATAAATCATCTCTACACACGTTAAGCTGTCATTTGGCATAATTACACATGCAAAATAGGAATTCCCCCAAAATTAAGTAGCACCACAAAAGACAATGTGAAGAAAGCGAAGAGCCGCGAACTACAAATACACCTACATTACCTGCTAAAAAATCTATCTATACCTCAATGCTAACTTACAAAAAAAAGAGATCGCTAATGAGCTTTTGTTAATCAAATTGTAACCACCAAAATACTATTTTAGTCTAAAGGGGTATATTTAATCCACGCGTTGATCCAATATCGACGGATGTGTTTGTGACTTGTGGAAGAAACTATTTTATGTAAATTAGAAAAATATTTTATTGAACTGTTGTAAAACTAATTCGCGTGTGTTTATACATTTTTAAAATGTCCGATATGCTTATATCACTTGTATAAACGTAAAGATAAAAGAAATATATTTCAAGATGTCGCTTACACTTTTCCAACTCCAAAAAAGCAATTATATATTTTTATCAATATGATGCCTCACTTTTACGATAAACACAAAACAAAAACCAAAAGTGATTGATAATATCGTGTATAAATAAAATCACAACAAATATTTTCATAATATTTTCAAAAGCAACTCAACCGAACGACGTGTTTTACTCTGATCTCCGACGAATGAAAAAGAAATTCACTTCCCCATAGCCAAAGTCGCATGTAAAAATTCGATCCGCTTACATTTGATGGCCCCGTGACGAATGTAAACAGCAGCCATGAAAATGCTGAGCCCCAAAACACGGCCCATAAACGGAAAACGGAGAGAGGGCCATAAAAAGGTTTGGCCCTCGTGCTGGAAGCCAGGCCTAAAGTCCGTTCTTTTTATGGTCAATTAGAGAGCGCCTCATTTGCATCGGCCTTAGTATGGCCAAATGCGAATGTCTCCTCGGTTTGCGCCTGGTTGTATTCATGTTGGCCCACTCCCTTGTTTCCACGTGGAATTGGATTTGTTTATACAAAGAGTTCCCAGTGGACGCTGAAAAGGTGGGTGAGTTCATCCGATGATCTTGAAATTCGATAAGCACACATCCGCTAATAACTGGACTTGATTTGACATTTGTAGATCAAGGGCGGCTGGTATGTGTATGCCACCAATCCACAAAGAATAAAAGTCTGCTACTTTAAAAATCGTAAGTTAAATACTTAAGTTAAATTGCATTTAAAAAAAATAAAAACTTAGATATGATTCCAAAATAATTATCAGTTGATCTCTACTGGACAAGGATCACCATGACGGACTATGATAATTATGCTGTGGAGCTACACTGTACCCTGCCCTGGATGCGTCATCAGATGGCCATTTATACCCGAATCGCGAAACCAAATGAAAAGACTATCAAAGATATAACGTCGTACCTTAAAACAGTGAATCTGCAAATCAAAAACTTCACCCTAATCCGGCAGAAAAAGGACTGTCGATCAAAAAAAGCTTCGGCTATGCAGCGCTGGCACTTATCCCGATACCTTTACATGGATTATAATCCGGTTTATGTCAAGCCCTTGGTGGAGAACGAAAACATCTGAGCCCGTCTTTGTATCGCATCTCTCCTCTCCAACTGGCAACTTTCTTTACCCAGAAATTTACATATGCCAAAATTGGTACAAATATGCGAATATCCGACCATCGAATATCTTAAAACAAAGAAGGAAAACTTTCAAGAAGACCGAAGCTGAGGTACTCTGTGCAATAAAAAAGAGTTTGAGTTTTGTTGTACAGAAATTATGAGTAAGTTTAATGGGCGACGATACCAAGATCACGCTGTGTGAGGATCTAAAAAATAATTTATTCAGTGAAAGGTTGCCCCCGGTCACCGATTTCATGATAATACCGTCATCATGTTTTAATTAACCCGACTTTTTTTATCTGCTCACGCCGTCATATCTGGTGACCAGTGGTCACCAATCTTACCCATCAACTCAATTAGTGAGCTGCTGACTTATTAGTCAGTTAGTTTCTTCGATCGCAGCTGATTCGGATTCGGAATCCGATTCAGATACCGATTCCCAGGGCAACTCCAATTTTGACGGAAACAAAACCATGGTGAGCTTTAAGAAATTCTTTCATTCGGTTGTTTGTCATCGTCGGGTCAAGTTGCGTCCGCATCCGATCGAAGCCGTGTTCATCGTTTTAGTTTTCGTTTTCGTCTCGGATTTTGGGGCTATTTCGATTTATTTTGGCCGAAAGAGAAAACTTGTTTCGGTGGCGCGAAGATGGTGATGTTGCTGTGTGGAATGAGGAAAAATGTATCGAACTCGCGTGTGGTTGAATGTGTTAAAATCAATTAGCATACCCCATGGGTTGCTGCTGTTGCAGCTTCTGCCGTGGTGCGCGGCCTTTGTGAATGAATCGTCTGTTTTCGGGCCAGAGAAGCTGCAAGCCTTCAAGATCTTCGACGATGAGCAACCCAGCCAGATATCGGGCCGCAGCTTCATCTGTGTTCCGCTATTTCGGGTCTTCACTCTGGAGCTGGGGCATAATATTCGATTGGCTCCCGATGAATATGTGGCTGTTAGTGGGGATCACCCGGCTCTGGGTTTATGGCAACTCGAGAAGGCTCTGCCCCTCAAGGTGCAGGATAAAGCGCGTTCTAAGTGGTATTTGAGGGTGTGGATATGCGCCAGTCAGAGATTCTACTACCGATACTTGATTTACTCGAAGAATGGCCAAGGAAAGCGAATTCTGAGGAGCTGGGAGGGTCAGAGAGTGGCCAGAATGCTGCAGACCTATGAGATCTACCGTTCCCCAGGCGTGGACATTTTCGGAGAGGCCTATCCCATTTCAGTGGGCGGGGGCTTCTACCTGGAACGTGGTTGGTTGCAGTATGAGTACGTCATAGAACTCAAGTTCGTCTGGCAGGATCACCTTGTTATGTCTGGGATGTCCAAAAATGCCAAGTACCGCTTGATCTTGACTCCGCTGAATGTGATAGATGACACACGCATTGAAGTGTCCAGATATGCCTACAATCAGTCATCTTTCAGACCTCAAAACCAACGCGGAGTGCGGTACAGTCAAGGCACCATTGTTGTCTTCCGCATCTATCAACCCTTGGACACCTACAATGCCCTCCGTTTGTCTATATATCAGGGATTGAGAGATGTCCAGTTATCTGTGGGAGAGGCTTACATATTTCCAGATCAGATCAAGGGAAGTCGTGGCATCTTACAAGTCCCCGTCTTTGCCAGTTTACGGAATGTAGCAGTTGGAGAGCTAACACTGCCCTACTTGGTGGTTCAACCCATGCCAAAAGTGGAGGCGGGAAACCTGAGAGCAAGTTTCCATCACTACTGGCCGGATAATTGGCCCACTTTGGATGTCGGATATCGTGGCTTGGGAGCGAGTTATTTTCAATCCTCAACTAGTTTTACGGAAAACACGATTGAAAGTTTTCTGGAAGTGCAGAAGGCCAAAGGAGATATGGTCCAACTGGATGTACAGCTGACCAAGGATTATGTTCCCATTGTCTGGCACGGTTTCGGATTTTATACCTCTGACGGAGATCGATCTATAAGGGATCGTTTTGATTTACGATATGTACTGATCAGAGAACTGACCTACTCCGAACTCAAAGCCAGTCGTGTGTTTATCCTTAAACGATGGACTCTCCAGGAATACACCCATCTTAACGTTAAGGATGTGAATCAGCATCAACGAATTTTCCCCAAGCTCTCAGAGGTTTACGAAGCGCTACCCAAGACATTGGGACTTCTGGTGGAGATCAAGTGGCCACAGATAATGGCTTCTGGAGTGACGGAATCCACACAGAGTCTGAATAAAAACAACTATGTGGATACAATTTTACAGACCACAATTCATTATGGGTGTGGGCGTCCCTTAATCTTTGCAAGCTTCGATGCCGACATATGCACCATGATCAGACTTAAGCAGCATGTCTTTCCCGTGATCTTAATGAGTATTGGGAGGTCTCACATCTGGGATCCTTATATGGATCTGAGGGCCCAGAGTTTCCAGCAGGCCATTAACTTTGCTCAGTCTGCTGAGATTTTGGGAACAGCTCTGCATGTAGAGAACTTTCAGAACAAGCATCACTTAGTCAAATCTTCCCTGGATCTGGATCAAGTTCTGTTTCTGTGGGGTAACGATCTGCAGGATGAACATCTTCTAGAGCAATTTCGAGCTTTGGATGTAACTGGTCTTATTTACGACCAGATGGACCGAGTGGGTCCCTCCAGCTGGAAGCGGTCCGAGTTTTTCCGGGCCCCACAACTTATGGAAGTATTTGGCGCTCAGTGCGTGATCAGTGGAAATTCAACGAGTATTCCGGGAATAAAGCCAGCTAAGCCGACTATATGGCCAAAGTTGAGATAGTTGATGGGTAAGAATAGGAAATATTGTTAATACTTTTAGCAAAATATCACACAACAAATTTGTAGAAGGAAACATTGGAAAATGTAGTAAATTTATAGGAAAATATTTTAGTTCCAGGTTGTTACTTTGGAGATATCCAAAGCTTTAAATTAAGAGCGGATTATAGAAACAAGATGGCTAATAATATTAAAAGCCTAAAGAGTAAAAAAAACAGTCAAAAAAACCAAATTTAGTTTCATAAAAATTACAAATTAACATATTTCAGAATTTTTTATAATATTTTATCAAGTTGTAAGTTATTTATTCCAATTTATCAAATATCGATCGAAAAAATGTATACAAAAATAATTCTTAAAAACCACCGATTTTTATTAGAATTATAATAACATTTTTGCCAAACTAAAAAATAGTAAAGTAAATAAAGTAGTTGTCTCCTGGGATTTTTAAAATAAATTTTAACTAATTAAGCTAGTAGAAAATATCTTAGTATTTAAGATAAAGCCAATGCTTAAACAATAAATAAGTAAATAGAATTAAGAACCTGCTGTAGGTGCATAGAAACCGATCTCATAATAAACAATTTGTAGAAAATGTAAAATTTTATTGAATGGATTTATTTATACAAGCTTTACTGACATCGCGCATCAGGTAGTCGTACTGCTCCTCGCACAAAATCTGAGCTCACACACACACACAGACAATCAATCAAACAATCAATCAATCAAGACGGAAGCTAACCCCTTTATTGAGTAGAGCAGTTGGTATCGGTATAGAGGTCCATGTAGTCATCGGTGACACAGGCGCTGCCAATGGGCATCGGCTGGCAAACGCCCTGCACCTTGGTGACCACTTCGACGTGGCAGGAGCGATGTCCGTGGGCGGAGAGCTTGTGGAATCCGCTGGTCGGATGCTTGAGGATGATCTGCGGCTTGTGGCCATTCCGATGCTTGGTGGGTGGAGTGGGGTCGTCGAAAGTCAGCCAGTCGGGCGGCATCGAATGCTGAGACCTGGCGGCTGCCTGATCCCCGGCCACATCTTGTTCTACCTCCAGGGGTAGGTCCACGCCATCTACTCCGTCGTCGAGGTCGATGGGAAAACTGACTTTGGATTTTCCCTCATTTTCAGTGCCCAGCAACTGGGGATTGAGCACCAGGGCGTTGGCAATCAGCAAAGTGGTGGCACAGTGGAGCAGGATGTGCAGTGGGGCCATTCTACCAACCGAGTCCAGCCGGAATTCCGAGTACTTTTTCCTTGCACTGGCCGTGCATGAATGTGGCTATCCCTGCAAGCCGGGCGGGCTTTTATAGCTCCAAAAGCGGACAGTCAATGACCCAACAATCGAAATTGAAAAGAAGCCACTCAAGGAGGAAGCATCTATCGTTTGGCGTCCGGAGTCCGGTGTCCAGGATCCAGCATTCAGCATCTAGCATCCGGAGAAATCCTTGGGAACCTCCACCCGCGCGCACACAAAGGGCGTAATTAATTATAGTTGAGTATACGCCACGTAAGCCGCAATGACAAGGACGCCCTGCGGTGCTTCCTCCCTGGGAGCCGAGAAAATTGGAAATCTATTCCCATTTCGATTGCGTTCATTCTCTTCCTCGATTCTATTCGGTTCGGTTTGGCGCCGCCTTCCTTTTGTATTTCCGGCAATTATTTTCGACGATGTGACAATATTGCCGACAATCGGGATTCACTGGAGCAGCTTGGATGGGACGTCTTTCGAGTTTTGGTTTTGGTATGGGGCCCTTAACGACTTCATAAGCATCTCATTCAATTGAATTCAAATGCAGTTGTCTTGGACCCGCAGGAAAAAACACACATACAGAGGCAAAATCAACGACAACATTTAGCGGAAGTGAAGCTGACGCCATTTTTAAAATGGCGCATACGTGTGAGACGTGTTTATGGCAGATTTTTTGGATAACTGACATGACAGACAGCAGCTGCCTAACAAGGCCAGGCAAAACGAAAGCCAAGTCAATAACAACAGCCATGATAGAAAATTTCTAGAATATAGAAAAACCAATTCAACTCAGGCCGTGATTGGCTATGTGACATCCCGTGATTTGGCCACGTGACGGCTTTAAATCTTTAAATTTCCTAAAGTTAGAATTGGAATCAATTGACTATTTTATAAGTTGATTACCAATTAAGATTGCTTTATTAGATGATAATTACTTAACGTTTGAGGCTGTCTACGAAGCACGCCCATTAAATAATTTTCATTTTCAATAACATCTTCAAGTGTCTTCTCAATTATTCCCCCGGCAATTCCAGTCACAGTTCAGATCATCTCTAATGGAAACATTCCTTGGGGGAAGCAGAGTGACTGCTTTGGCGGCACGCAGGATGAATAGCTAAGGACATGGAACCGAGACTAGACAATGCCAACAGGATTCGCTGAATCATTAAATTGTACGCCATCCAGAGACATTCTCCTCCTGCCAGCAGCAACAAAAATATGGGCTAAAGTGGCACGTGAAATTAATTTAAATGCCCTGATTGTGGATGAATGACATTTGTTGTCGTCGACTGCTGCTTAGCTTGTTAGCAATTCAATTCGGTCATAATAGATGGCTGTTGGGCCTAAGCAGTCTAACCCTACCGCGGTTCACCTCAATTTCCTAGTGAAGGCGACCTAATTAAACGCCTTTGCCTCTGCCGATGATCCTGAAGTCTTTGCCCGGCTAATTAGAGCAGCTGTCACAGATGAAGCCGGGCTGCCAGGACGAGAACGAGAGCCAACGGAAGGCAGTGCAAATAATTCAATTAAATTGCTTACGAACAGCAGACTCAACAACAACGCCGAGGGGAGAAGACAAACCGCAGGCAGCCACGAAAGCCGAGGCATTTCCACAAACCGCCGTGTCGAGCCAAAGCCAAAGCCAAAGCCAAATTCAAAGCAAAAGACGGCTAATGCAAATACCCATTTTCGAAATAACCACAAAGCCGAAATGCCAAGTCTAAATTGACAGAGAAAAGGGAATGTGATAATATACATGAAATGAGCTAGGTTTTTTAAATAGTTTTTGTCTAATGAATACAAAAAATTTAGCAACTAGATAAATATTAGTATATAACAAAAAAATTCATAAAAGCTCATTCAAGATTTTCGGTTTTTGAAAATATTATATTTTTTATTTAAAAGGATTACGGTATTAGGCCACTGCAGTCAGTGCTCTGTAATCTACTATTGGGTTTATCATTGTATGATAGCTTTATTTGTTATAATAAATAAAAAAAATAGTACAAGTCAAGGAGCCTCTACCTCTATTACACAGAAACAAATTTAAATAAAAGTTTCAATTAATTTACATACATTTTAAAAATGTAAAGAGCAATGCTATAAATCTAAAATCAACAAAAATTAAAATAAAAAAAACCAAATTAAAATCTCATGAAATTCCCAGCACTGAACAAAGCCACCGACAGTGCAAATTAAATTCAAATTGAATTGAATCGTAATAAAGCGTGAACATATTTTCAACGTTCGAGTATTTTACAAAGTGATAGGCGAAATTGCATATGATTTTATTTAAAAATGCGATAGGAAATTGAACAGGAAATTGAATTTGTGTCGGCGTTTTATTGCATTTAAATCAAAAGTTGATTGAAGCCGCATAAAAAGCGATCTAAAAAGTGTATGTAGACAAATTATTATGTGTGAAAATCTATAAAGGGCCGCCAGGAATGATGAGAGATTGTAAATAAAATGAAAGCCAGCCAGCCAGGCTGATACTATTTATTTTATTTTTTCATTATAAATAATTAATTTTTATTGTAGAAAATTAAATGATAATTGAGAGATTACAGAAATGTAATTAGCTACACGAAGTTTTTGCGGCCGCACCCATAGTGCTTGAGGTAATTAAATCAATTGTTTAATAATATTAAAATTTAATGACGTTTGAACTGTAATCGTAATTGAATAATCCATTAAATCGAAACACAATTGATATATAACGATGAGTATGACGATTGAATAGTTTTTGAAGGACTAACCGGTTTTAAGGACTTACTCTCGAGAAAGGCCATTAAGTTTACGGGCAGCGCTAAACTAACTCTAAGCCTTTTTCTTGCTACAAAGTGCCAAAAGTCGTGTGACAAAATTGGCAGAAGCCTGAGCTCCTTGAAACAAGCAAAGAGCCATTTGTTCGCCAGTGACTTAATGTGGACATCTACTTTCTCTGTGGGTCTCTAGACTAGGTCCCAGGCGTCTGCTTGCTCAATTTAATCTTTGGCGCGCCAAAAATGATGGAGCACGGATAACTTTTTGGCGCCGGCAACGTTTTAATTTGCATTAAAACGCGACGCGACTGGAGTTGGCAAAATTCGCGCGAGGAACTATTAAACTAAACTTACAACACGGTTGGGTTATAAGTTTTTCGTTCTCGCGCTCCGTGAGCTTGCATACAAATGGGCCTCGAAATCGACGGAGCCAGCCCCAAGGATTTCGCCCCTAAGGCTTCCCCGCTTTCGACCACAAATCAGCGGTGAGATGGAGGCGGGAATTTGGCCAAGGGTCCAACAAGTTGTCGGCTTAGCGTGTGGGCCGTTTTGTCTGCCCAGCGGGAATCATAAATTGTGTGATGGGGCTTAGCTGCCATGAAGTATGGCCGATCGGATGAATGATTTACGGTAATGCCGGATCGGTAGGAGGCCAAACTTTCTTGCCTAAAATCCTTCAATAGAACCTACGAAAACTTGGATTAACTTTAAGAAGTTAAAGTACACTAGTCTGTTACCTACATATATAGTAAAAGGAAACCGTTTCTAAATCAAATATAACTATATGCCGACTTTTTCTGTGTGCCTTCATCTCCCAAAAGCCGAAAAATTATCGCATAACTTTAATTTAAGAGGGATCAGATTGGTTTTTCATCTGTGAAGATTGCCCACTGTCCTGATGGCGGGGCCACTGTTTTACCAGCAGCGAGGTGCAGTTGCAAAAAGCTTTTAATTTGTGCGAGACTCGACCATAACGAATGCCGAGGGCATAGAGCAGCTGGCACATTCCACATGCCCCATGCCCCATGCCACATGGCACACATGGTGCACAGACATGCCGGCAGCCGTCCTCGAGTTCTGGCCACTTGCGTCCGTGTTCGATGTGGATAGCACTGCCACAAGACTATTTAAAAATTAATACGATTGAAATCCACCATTTTCGCGCCAGTTAAGCAATAGAGTCAGGGGGTTGATGGGCCGGAGAAGGGAAGAGGAAATTGGGAAACGGAAAATGGGAATGAAAACCAGACGGAGATGCATTGCAATGAGCTTGGGAGCCCGGCCCACATCTTTTCGCTTTCGCCCCTTTCATTCGCAGCCCATGATGTCCGCCTCCAAGATCAAAGGCACTCAGTGAGCGGGGCAAAAAGAACGGAGAATAAAAGTTTTTAATACTTTTGGCCAAAAACGAAGAGAACGCGACGAACACTGGGCGCCATAAACTTGGCCTTGTTCCAGACAGGCTCAAGTGCTCGGAGTACATTCAGAAAAAAAAAATATTGTAAACCATCGGTAAATATACTAAGAAGAAAAGGCTCTACAGTTCTGCGAAGAAAGTTTTTAAAGCTTAATTTTAAATTTTAAAATAAATTTTGTCGTACTGAAAGAGGAACATCTTAATAAGTTATTGAATAATTAACAATCTATAATTTGATAACAAAATCTATTAAATCATTAATAGTTAATTAAAAAAAATATATTCTTTATTTATTTACCTAAGGCTAGCAATTAATTCAACTAAGAGCTAACATATGGATAGGAGCAATATCAGCTAAGACCTTCAGCTCGGCTAAAATTAGATTATGGATTGTTAATTTTCAACCTATCAATAAATATATACAAAATATTACGAGGCCTTACTATTTTCATTTTATTTACAAAAATTTTATTTAATTTGGGAGGGGATATGGGAGTTGTCCAGAAACTTAAGGATGTTTAAGGAGTTTGTATCAATGGGTTTAGTTATGGCGGATCGGGAATATGGAGCAATGTGGATTTTTGCGTGAAAAGGGAGGGCAGACACAAATAATATGATGGATGCCAATCTGAGAGATGTTGTACAATGGGCACAGGCTGCTCCTTGATCTGTCGAGGTAGTGGGGGTTTATATTTATTTCGTATTTATTAACGTATAAAGTTTATTACTTAAAATATGCAAATAAACTATCTTACTCCTAATATGTACTCCTCCTCATACATACATGATAATAATATGTACATGTCCTATTCAATAATTTAAATGAA